ATAAATGAATAGATGAATAAATACGTTAATAAATAAATAAAAACTGAATAAGTGAATAAATAAATAAATGGATAAACGAATAAATAGATAAATAATCTCTTTCACAAAACCCAAACTCACGTGCACGAGCCCGTCCGCGTCGTAAGAGATCCTGGCACAGGCCTTGAGATGCCTCATGACGCTGATGGTGTCCGCCTTCTGCACGATCTCCTTGCTGTGAAGGTGAAGGACGGCCAGGGAGAAGCGGAACAGGACCTTGGGACCCTCCAGCAGGAAGACGTCCCAGATACGGAGCAGCGTCTGTAGAGGGGGAAACAGCAGACGGTATAAATACAATCGAAAATGTACAACATGGCCACCCATTGAGCATTAAATAATTGTTTGTTCTTTTATAGAGGCACACGCTATCTACATCAAGGTTTTATGTATTCGTAGAGGTTTTACGGCACTCGCAACTGCATAAGGTCATATGAGCGCCAGAAGATAAGAGGTGTTACAAGAGAGTAACAAACATAAAAAAAAAAAAGGGGAGAGAAAGACGATAGATGTTTGATAGGAAAGAAGAAGCAAACCACACCAGAGCACCCGCCAACCACCCTCGTCTAGGTTTTGTTTTAGAATGGTCACCCATTGCCCAGGAGAAAATAGGTTGTCTGAGACAAGTTAACGTCTTAGAGAGTGTCATGCTATAAAAGACGAAGTGATAGGCGGTGGGGATGGGGGAGTTGGAAATTTTTGTTTGGGCAGGTGATCGTCTTGATTTGACAGAATGTGCCATTAACCCCAAACCCCCCAGCATTTCACCGACCAGTCCTAAACCTATGTGTCAGTGGAAATTAAGACAAGTTTGACTAAATTCATAATAATGATGTAATTTTGGATTACTGACACAATTTACATTATACAAGGATTCTTGAACACGGGTTGTTAGGGAAATTTGATCAAGACCAGCAGTCAAAATGAACTGTATCGATACAATATGGGACCATTGTTCTCTCACCGTCCCCACCCACCCCACTTTTCTCTCATATTATTTTTCTACCAAAGTATTCCTATGGCGTTCATATGACCTTATGCAGTTGCGAGTGCCGTAAAACCTTTACTAAAAACTAAAACTAAAGTATCCCTACACCGCCTTTTCAAGCGAGAGGGCGAGGAGATGAGGTGGAGAAGAAAGGGGTGAAAAGAGGGGAGGGGATGGGGGAAGGAGGAGTTGGAGACTGCCAGCAATGATGGTATCATTAAGCTGAACTACGTTGTCGATAACCATGCTTGGAATCCCTAATGGTTCTGGACTCGATAATTTTGGGGAAGTTTCGAAAGCTCAACAACCTCTTGATTGGTCCTATACAGACAGAGTGGGGATTTGACTAGAAAAGGCAGAGCGATGGGATTGGAAGGTGGTTGCGAGCAGAATTCTTCTTCCAAGTTCAATGACCTTCTGATCTCGTGCTTTTATCAGGAGACATGAGAGTGAGTGAGAGAGAGAGAGAGAGAGAGAGAGAGAGA